AGTCATGGAGCAAGTATCAATCTTCTTTGGTTCCTATCTCAATGAAAGCTCAAGTCCAGCTCAGAAATAACAAAAGCAAAAAACACACGCTTCAGCGCTCCTTCAATCCTTCTATGGTTCTATGATCTTACTAACATGAGTATTTCCTCCAATAGTGTAGATCTTCACCAAGCCTTACCTTATTCTGTTCAATTCATGTCCATGGTATCTCATGGATTCTTCACGTGAGCCCCATCCAGTGTTTTGAAGGGCTTACTCTAAATCTTTTTTTTTTTTTAACAGTTCATGGGTTACAGTTCAATATTCATGAGGGCTGCCCCTGGGTTATCCTTTACCCTTGTTATGCGACTGGCCTTCCTCCTATTCCAATCATTCATTTCCTGAATCATGCTACATCTTGCATTTAGGTCATCACTGGAAATGGACTACAACCTACTTTAATTCTTCACAGATTGTGGGGTTTTAAGGTCCACAACCAAGAAGCATCACCAAGAGTATAGTTGTGTTGGGAGATTGCCCTTTTTTTTGCTGAAAATCATTAAAAGAATCATGCTATTCCCCAAACATAATCCAGCTTGCTCTTCTTCTATCTAATGTGGGGCCAATTCAACGTTTCTCTTCACTACCAGTCTCCAGCAACATTCTAATTTACTGACTCAATATAATGGTCTTCCAGCTGCATCTTATGAAGCAGCTAGACGACATAGTGGATAGAAAGCTGGATGTGGAGTCAGGGAGATATGAGTTCAAATCCTACCTCTGATGGTTACTAGCTGAATGACTATGCGCATATCACTGAACTTTTTAGTTTCAGTTTGCTCATCAGGGATAATAGCCTCTACCTAACTGGGCTATTGCTCTGATGATTAAACAAGTTAATATATGTTAAGCACTTTGCAAACCTTAAAATGCTGTGCTAATATTAGTTATTATTATATCATAGTATGTACCAGGGGTTATTACTTTTTTGTCATGATCCCCTTTGGTAATCTAGTAAAGTTTAGGACCCTCTTCTCCAAATTATGTTTTTTAATGAATAGAATAAAATAAATAGTATTACAAAGGAAAACAGTTATATTGAAATACAGTTATCAAAAAATTTATATATACATACATACATACATACACATACACACACACATATATACATATACATATATGTTCACAGCTCCTAGATTGAAAATCTCTAGACCAGACAGCAGGCATTTTTCAATTTTTGCCATGAGGCCAGTCTCTCTTGAGTGATCATGGATCTTAATGGAGATTCTATAATGTCCTGAGGCTTGATACATTTAGGATGATATCATTCCACAATCAAGAACATCTAGAAGAACTCGCCATCCATGAGAAATTCTTTTTCAACTGGGACTCTATGCAGGACCTTTCTCCAGACAGTGGCAAATACCTCTGCTGGACATATCTCCCTGTATTATGCCTTGCTTAACATTGATGATAGGCAGCTAGGTGATGTAGTGAATAGGATATTGGACTTGGAGTACAGAAGACTTGAGTTCAGATCCTACCCCTCAGACACTAACTGGCTGTGTGACCATGGGCAATTCATTTAACCTCTCTCACCCTCAGTTTCCTTATTGTAAATTGGGGGTAATAATAATACACACTTCACAGGGTTATTATGAGAATAAAATGAGATTTTATATATATATATATATATATACACACACACACACAGTGCTACATAAATGGTAGCTATAATTTAAACAAAAATGAGGGCTACTGTGGTTGTATTTATCAATCTTATACGTCCTTCATTTATACACTTGAGGAGAGCTTTTCAACTAGCATGGTGCTCTACCAAACCAAATGCTTTTTTGGTGATCTATAAACAAAGAACACAGCAGGATCTTGTATTTACTGCATCTTTCAGTCAGATGGGTGGCTATAAACATGTGGGCTGCTACAGAAAATCCTTTGTGAAAGCCTACGTGTTCCCTTCTCCTATTTTCTTCAAGGATATCCTTGCTACATAGATAGACTATTCTCATAAAGTTTTTTTTATAGATATTAGAAATTAGGTATGTTAGTCAATAGTTATTGTAGCCTTCTCAATTACCATTTTTGAGGAGTGAGATTATCTATTGGGTTCCCTCCACCATTCTCATAGCATCTTCTCTTCCCTGAGATGGGAAAACAAAACGCTTAATGCTCTTATGATGGTGTTGCCTTCTGCACTGACTTCCCCTGTGTGCTCCGGTTCAGTCATCATTTCCAATTTTACCTTTTTTCTTCCTTCCTTCCTTCCTTCCTTCCTCCCTCCCTTACTTCCTTAATTCCTCTCTCCTTCTTTCTTTCTTTTTTTTTTTGAGGCATTGGGGGTTAAGTGAGTTGCCCAGGGTCATATAGTGAGTAAAGGTCTGAGGATGGATTTAAACTTAGCTCCTCCTGACCCTGGGGCCAATGCTCTATCCATTACACCTAGCTGCCCCCCTCCCCAATTTTACCTTCTCCCCTACAATTTCTACTTTCTTGCTTAGAACATGGAACATTGAGGTGTTAGGGTTGAGATCACAGAATTACAGAATCTCAGAGATTGAAGGGACCCAGAGGCAGGGATATGCTGCTAAATGTTTAACAGCTCTCCATGAAAAAAATAATGTAAACATGAAACACTTTTAAATTTAATCTAAATATTTTTCCATTGCTTTCTTCAGTCTAGACCAGGGGTGGAGAACCTGCAGCCTCAAGGCCACATGTGGCCCTCTAGGTCCTCAAATTCAACCCTTTGACTGAATCCAGTTTGTTCTGTGACCTACAGATTCAGTCAAAAGGCTGCACTTGAGGGCCTAGAGGGTCCCCACCCCTGTTCTGGACAGTCAACAACAACAAAAAAAATCAAACCCTCATTTGTAATATTTGATGATTTCTGAGGTTTAAGTGTTAATACTGAAAATTTAACAATCAGCTATCACGAGCCTGTACAAATTGGCTCCCATATATCCTTGTTCAAAGGCCATCTAGTCAAATCTGCACCTAAGCAGAAATCTCTATAACAAAGGTCATCTAGCCCTGAAGACAACCAAGGAGGGGAAAACCCATTACCTACCAAGGTTGAATGACCTCTCTGCATTCATTAGCTCTAGCTGTTGGGAAGTTTTTCTTAATATTGGGGCTGTATTTGCTTCTGTAATTTCAGCCCACTGTTCCTAATTCTGTCCATTCAGGAAAAAGCAAGTGGTTTCCACTCTTCACATGACAGCTCTTCATCTACCACATCCCTACCTCCCCCCACCACATACACACACTTCCTTCTTTTCTTCAAGCTAAAGAGTCTAAGTTCCTTCAACTTATCTTGATGTGGCTTTAACTTGAGTTCCTTCACCATCCTGATTCCCTGTCTTTGGTTTATCAATGTACCTCATCAAATGTGACATCCAGAAAAAAGCACAGTACTTGAGACCACAGACTGACCAGAGAACAGCGGGTTCATCAGCCCACCAGACGTGGACACTACTGCTGTCTGAGATTGCATTAGCTTTCCTGCCTACCATACCATACATATGGTTCACATCGAGCCTGCAGTCCACTAACAACCCCTGACCTTACTCAGACAACTACCACCTAGCCACAAATCTGCCATTTTATGGTTGTGAAACTGATTTTTGGAACTACCATCATGATGGTACAAGGACACCCATATTTTAGAGGGCACAGATAGTACTTTTCCTTCACTTGATAAAACAACCAATCTCATTACAAGAATAATTAGCTGAATTAAAAAGCCAGTGTTCTTCTTCCCAGGGGCAGCTAGATGGCACAGTGGATAGAGTGCTGGGTGGGCCTAGAGTCAGGAATACTCATCTTCCTGAGTTCAAATCTGGACTCAGACGCTTACTAGCTATGTGACACTGGACAAATCATTTAATTCCATTTGCCTCAGTTTCCTCATTTGTAAAATGAGCTGGAGAAGGAAATAGCAAATCACTCCAGTATTTTTGCCGAGAAAACCGTAAAAGGGCTCACAAACAGTCAGACATAACTGAAAAAAAAATCTAAACAACAATAAGCTCTTCTTCTGAGCCAGTGACTGATCAGCTCCTACACAATCTAGTTCTACTTTCCTAGTGGCATCACCCAATTTTATATTGCCTTTCCTCCAACACATGGCATTACGTCCTGGGCACAGTTGTGGCACTTGCCATGGCTATCAGAATTGTTAGTCATAGCTACTTTTAAAACTCAAGCATACAATTTTATATTTATTCCTATTAAAATTACCTTATTTGAATAAACCCAATTTTCTAGCACATTTCTAGATCACTTGACTATCAAGTCTGTCACGCAGTGATTTTGTGATCACTCCACAGACAAATGAGATAAGCATGCCATTTATGCTTTTATCTAAGACACTGATAAAAATGTTTACCAATATAGGGTCAAGCACAGATCCCCAGACCACTCCACTGTACACTTTCTGTTATGTTGACATTGAGTCATTAATGACTGCTCTTTGGGTACAACCATTCAAAGAAGACAGTACAGAACAGCAGAAAGAATACCTAGGCAAGTCACCACTTCTCTGCACTTCAGTTTCTTAATCCATAAAATGAGGAGACTGAACTAGAAGATCCCCATGGTCTCTTTTAGCTCCAAATCTGTGATCCTATGAACCAGTTCTGGCCCCATTCAATCATACTACCGTCTAGTCCAATCCTCTTTTCCACATCAATAGCAGGAGAGACTTGAGTAAATGCTTTGGTAAAACCTAGGTCAAAAGTCTACAGCACTTCCCTTACCTAGCCAGTCAGAAAAGACAATCAGATCAGTTCAACATCACAGTGTGCTTGATGAAGAAAAGATGTCTTTTTGTTTTCAGCCTTTCTTTTTCTAGAAGTTCACTAACCACCCTTTTAATAATATATTTTCATTTTTTAAAACCAGGAATGGAAGACAAGACCACTAGTCTATAATTTGTAGACATTCTTCTCTTCTCTTTTCTGGGAAAATTCAAAGAGCTTTAGCCACTTCCAAAACTGTCTTACCTCTTAGACTTCCTCCATGTAAGCTTAAGTTTGAAAGGTCACATGATGCAATCAAAAGAGGACTGGATTGGGGACAGATGACCTGGATTCAAATCACAGTTCTGCAATTTATTGGTTATACATATTAGTCAAGTAACTCCTTCCTGGGTCTCACTTTGTTCATGTCTAAAATAAGGATATTAGACTAGTCGACCTGTAAGGGTCCTTCCAGCTCTAAATCTATGATATTACAAATATAACGTGGACAATGGATCAGCCATTACATCTGCAAAATCCTTTAATACCAGAGGACATCTACAATCTGGGGCTCTGAACTCATCAAGTCAGTCAGTAAACATTTATTAAGTGCCTACTACATGCTAGGCAATGTGCTAAGCATTATTGTTGTTTTTGCCCTTCATTCTTGAAGAGAACCTTGATGTCAGGAAGGTGATATCATGACTTGCAAGTGAATTGGATTTAAGTAAGGGAAGGCAGTGCAAAGTCACCAGCCTCACTTTCTCTTTTGGAGCCATCTGGGTCCAATGGCAAGATATAGATCAGGAGATGTCCCCCATAAGCATTAGACATAAAAAGAAAGGCAAAAGACAAGTCTTTGCTCTCTCCTGCCATTTCCTAACCTATCTTGGGTACCAAGTCCCTCATTGTTCTGTTCTTTCCATGTAAATGCCATTCACCATAGCAGAGTGAAAGCACAATGAGTTTCTGCCTTTTTCTCTGTTATAAATCATCATAATTCCATCAACCCAGACATTTTCCTTGATCCTCTTATTTTTCCTAGTATAGCTAAAGGAGAAAACATGCCTTTTTGTCATCCATGGCTTTTCTTTGCCAGACGTAGTACATGTTGAACTTTAGCACTCTTGACACTATTGCTATAGGATGATGACATTATCTTGTATTCATCTCTTAATAATTGCCCTTGCTTCCATCTTCAGTACACATCTTTGTTAAATTTAAGTTGGGCAGTGAATTACCTGTATGTAAATGGAGGTTTGATGTGGAAGAAGTCTGAGAGCCTGCTTCCAGAAAGGCATGATTATGTGTCTAACCCATTCCAGCAGCAGCAGAAATGCAAACTCACGCACCCATCAATAATGTCATATTTGGAAGTGAGCTGATAGAGGAGAATGTTAAAGAGAAAATGCATTAAGTCTGAGCCCACTCTCCCCAGGGCCCATGGAGGTATGGGGGAGAGTGTATCCCAAGTGTGAGGAGGAAATGTTTGTAACCTGTGCTCTTGCTATATATCTCTATAGTAAATATATCATTGTAAAAGTTAATTGAGTTTACACTTCCACCATCTTGGTGCAGACCCTTACCACATCACACCCAGGCAATTCCAATAGCCTTCTGGTTGGTCCCCCTGCCACAAGTCATTCTTTACTCCAGTCTATCCTCCATTTCACTGTCAAATTAAGCTTCCTAAATCATAGGTTTGAGCCTACCGACCCCCTCCCCCTGCTCAATAACCTCCCAAACTTCCCCTATTATTGTCAAGGCTACCACCCTCCTCCCAGTCACCCAGGCTCTCAATGTAGGTCACCCTCAACCCCCTCACTCACTCTCATTTCCCTATATCTAATATACTGCCAAGTCCTGTAATTTCCACCTTTATAACAACCCTCATATATTCTCCTACCCTGTCTCTCCTCTGACACTGCCACAACCCTGGCAAAGGCCCTCATCACTTTATGCCTGAACTTCTGCAATAACCTTCTGGGTGGTCTCCCTGCCTCAAGTATTTCCCCGCTCTTATCCATCTTTCACTTAGCTGTCAAATTGTAAAGGATAACTGCAAGATGAGGGGACCTGCATGAAATTCCTTCCTCTACTACTTTCTATCTTCATGACCTCGGGAAAATCACTTAAGATCTCTTGGTCTTAATTACTCATCTGTAAAATGAAGGGGGTTAGATTATTGGGCTTATAATGCCTCTTCCAGCTCTCCATCTATGATCCTATGATCATCTCTGGTATGTCGTACAATGTACACCATGGCTACTATCTTTGATCTTCTTGTAAAGAAAATATTATGTGTCTATATATATATATATATATATATATATATATATACACGTATATATATATGTATATACACACACACATATACATATATACACATATATACATATATATACACACACAAACACATGCATATATACCTATAAACATATCATGATGTATAGGAGAGGTTTCTGAGCAATCTATAAGTATTTAGTCTCTTTCATTTCTTAAACCTGACCACATTTTCCAACATGCCTTTTTTTCCAACATGTCTTTTTTTCTGTCCTGCCCTGTACCCACTTTCACAATAAAATCATTAATTATCAAAGTATATGTTGAATTGATTTGAAGGATAATTTCAAGTTCTTCATAGAACTTCTCTGCAACAGATGTTAGTGCTTAAACTGCCATTGCTTTTGAGGTTATCCTTTTGTTTATGGTCATCACAAGTGCTACAAGATAAGACGGCCAAATATTTGTTCCATGAAACAATATTTCTTGTTGCTGTAGAGAACACAATAAAATTGACTCTCACTATTAGCCTCTTCATGGAGAAGAGCCATCTCTCCATTTAGCCACAACTTCCTTCCTGTTTCATTTCTCTCTAAAGTGTCAATATTTACACCAGCTCTTCCAGGAGTATATTGATTCATTGATCATTGAAAAAAAAAAGCTCACAGGACACCAACAATTAATGTTTATAGATGGCCTAAAAATTGTGATTCTTAGCATTTTTGTTCCCTTTTCTGCTGCTCCACCAAAATCACTGCTGAAGCACTAGGAGACAACAGAGGACAGAGAGCATTTTTTCATTTTTCTTTGGCTCATGGATTGTCAAGGCCAGAGAATTCACCATAACCAGTCTACTGGAGATGAATCTTTCCAGATTGAGCTACCTTGGTCCTTGAGTAGCACTTGAAGCTTAAACTTGAAACATTTGGGTAGATAGATAGATAGATAGATAGATAGATAGATAGATAGATAGATAAAATAGTCTTAAAAATATAAGATTAATTCCACATGACAGTATGGAATCGGAGTGGGACTTCACATATTCATGTATACATACACACATTTTAATGCTATAAAATTCTGTTCTCTATAACATGCAAGTACTTATTTTGAGATAACAAATTTCTTGAGTCACAGTGAAGGTTTAAAACCTTGGCGGACAGTAGTAATACACCCTCAGGGGTGTGTCATATTTTCCCTTAAAGTACTAGTACGAAACAGATACCAAATGATTAGGAATAATTAGATATGCTATTGACGTTTCACTTTAGTTTACAAAACACTTTACGTACATGTATTATATTTCTTCCCACAATAGTCCTGAGAGACAGATATTACATGTGTGATAGCAGAGAGGAGGGTGGGGTGCTGCATTGTCCCTTATTAGATAAAACCTACATTTTTAATACAATCAGGTAATCACATCTAATCCTTATATTTTGCCTTTCCCCAGTTCTTAGGAAGGGTAACCAAAAGACAGAGTTTAACTCTGTCTCAGGCCCCTGAGGCTAATGACAAAATAACAGATTTAAAAATCTCTGAAGCACAATGAACTCCCCCTGAGACCAAGGCTGTGAACTAATATTATGTGTTTTCTATATACGTTATCCTCAGTAGTCCACTTGAGCCAACTGATGCTTCTTCCTGCTAATGTATAAATATGTACAGAATAAAATCGTTATTGACTTGCATTCTAAAGTGGGTTCTCTTCCTTCCTTCCTTTCTTTCTTTCACCTTGACGTAACTATTGTTACTTCATTTTACAGATAAAGAAACTGAGTTAGAAAGGCAGAACGACTTGGCAATAGCAATACAACTAGTATCAGATGTAGGCTCCCAACCCAGATCTCTCCTTATATCAAAGTCAATGGTGTTGGTACACTAACAGTAAATGCCATTTCAAACTTTAAGTCAACTCTATGCAATACCATTGTTTGTACATCAGTCAACCAGTAAGCATTTAATAAGTTCCCCGCCGTGTGCTAGGCACTGTGCCAAACAATAAGGAGACAGAGAAGGGTAAAAGGTAGTCCCCGATCTCAAGGAGTGCACTGTCTAACTGGGGAACGACGTGAAAATTATTCTATACAAACAAGACGTGTGTAGGAGAAACGGGAGATGGCACAGCATTAAGGGGGATCAAGAAAGGCTTCTCAGAAAAGATGATATTTTAGCTGGGATTTGGAGGGAAGATAGGGAAGACAGGAAGCAGAGACGAGGAGAGAAAACATTCCAGACGTAGGGGATCGCCAGTGACAACGTCAGGGGTTGAGAAATGGTGTGTCTGGTGTGAGGAAAAGCAAAGAAATCAGTGTCACAGAGTATATGGGGCAAGGTAAGGTGTAAGGACTGGAAAGGTAGGAGAAGGTCAGATTATGCCAAACAGAAGACTGGATGTTTCATTCTGGAGGCGATATGGAGTCACTGGAGTTTATTGAGAAAGGAGGTAACATGGTTAGTAGACCTGTGATTTAGAAAGCTTAACCTGACAGCAAAAGAGAGGAAGGAAACAGAGATAGAGGAGACATGAGGCAGAGAGGCCAATCAGAATGCTACCGTGATAGTCCAGGCGTAAAGTGATGAGGCCCCGCACCAGGGTTGTGGCAGTGTTAGAAGACAAAAGGGGGGCGTATATGAGAGATGTTACAAAAGTAGAAATAATAAGATTTAGCAGAGTATTGGATATGGGGAATGAGAGTAACAATAGAGGATGTTTGGGTGACTGGGAGGATGGCAGGGCCCTTGACAGTAGGAGGAAAGTTTCAAAGTAGGAATGGTTTGGAAGGAAATCATGAGTATTATTGAAAGTAAAATGAAGGGTAGGGAAAATCTATCAAAATACTTATCTCTGCCTGTCAAGTACTGAATAGTATCTCTATCCATAAATTTCTATGAAGACTAAGAGGGAGAGGTAATAAACTGAGGTCAACCCAATTTATGCAAAATTATCATATTGAATTATTTACATAGTAGTTTGGGGAAAAGAATATTACTCCTCTTTCTCTCCCTTTTTATGTTTTCATGTAACTAGATATTAGTGCTGGGTTTTTAAATGGTATCAAACAACCATCTGGTGACAAATATAGAAGATAAAAAAATAAGCTAATGGAGGAAGAGGAATCCAGATTGTCACAGCCATGGCAGAAATAGCTAACTACAGATGTGGAGATAACTGCTAGAAAAACAAATAGAAAAAAAAATCCATTTGCGCAGGACACAAATCTCACTCACTGAGAAGCACAGTGAAAGTACTACTTTTATCCCAGACAGCTCTGAAATAAAAGAAACTCACTCTCAATGTCCAACTGCCAAAAAGAGTGACAACCAATTGTCATTTCAGTAATTGTTTAAAAAAACAACAAAACACAACCTTTTACATTCTACTAATTTTAAATGAACTTCCCTCAGGGCCAAATAGCAGTAATTAAATTAGATACTATTTAATACAATGGACTCCAAAGAAGGGTGCACGTACCCTAGAGGTGTGAAGGGTAGGGCAAAGGAAGAAAATACTGAAACTGAAGAGGGAAGCATAACTGTGCAGCAAACTAGCAGCTGCTCCCTGCTTCAGATACTCTCCCTTCCTCTGCCTAGACCCGTGACAGATTTCACCATAGCGTTACTCCCGTGAGCTCCTCCCCAGACAAGCAGGCCAGAAGGGAGGCAGGCAAGTGGGTAGGCAGTCATTCCCCATCAGGCTCCCACACTCCCTGTGCTCTACTTATCCATACCTCCTAAGACACAGCAGCACCACAATCTTCTACACCCAGCCCTTAGCCCAGGCACATGAGCCTATGCAGCTCATCTGAGCTCTTCTCTCTACTATTAGCTCTTGCTCTCTTGGAAACAGCAGCCAGAGAGCAAGAGACAGCTCTTGCCAGCTTGGGAGGAGCTGAAGCAAGAACAGTCATGAAGCAGGCACAGTGACAGTAGCAGCAGCAGTAACCACCACAGAATCCTCCCCTCTGTGAGCTGCTGCCACTGATGTTTTTCTGTTGCTGCTGCTGCTGCTGCTGTTGCTCTGGAGCTCCAATAACTGAGCACAAAACTTCCTCACATCTGTAATCTTGCCCCTAAGATGAGCCCATCACCTTAGAA